GCCATTTTATGACCACAAACACACACAGATCCACCTGCAGTGACTCCTTCCACATTCTGCTGGTTGAACCTGATTCTGCACTGAAACCGGATTACTGAGAGAGACCAGGTTACTAGAACAGCTGCTGTATCTACGTATGACTCCACACACAGACGGCAGCTAGACTTCACTAACACAACCAACACTAGGATAGGTTACAACACAATTCAGCTCAGCGTACCAAACAGGTTAGCATCATGGCAGAATACCTTTGATCCATAACTGTTGAGTGTGCTTCTAGTGACTTTAAACAGCTCAGTAGTATTACAGTCTGACAGGCAGACTATGCTTATGGCTGGTTAGCTCTGTTAGCACTGTTAGCTCTGTTAGCTCTGTTAGCTGTTCCTGTCAGTCACTGTCCTCTGCAGATCTCTGGTGTGTTTTTACCTTAGCTGAGAGAAGCTAACAGAAGTGAAGGCTGCAGTTTAATACGAGAGAGAAAAAGCAGAAAGACATTTTGGACAAGCAGAAAGAAAGAAAGAGTCGATTGTGATCGAAGAGGAAGAGGAGGGAGCAGGTAGAGGAAGTGAAGGACAGACACACAGGGACAGTGACAAGGTCGGAGCTGAAACAGAAACCATGTTTACCATCCAGAGAGAGAGAATGTGAGGCCGGCACAAGGTCTTCTGCCTCGGAGGGAGAACAGATAAAACCCTCAGATCCACCTGAGCTACCGGCTGCAGGACTGAAAACCCACTGCCAACTTCACTGTAAGACACTGACGCTGCAACAGAGCGCTCATTTCAAATAATCAATTCATCAATTGGTCAATAACACAGATGATAATAGATAATAGTGATTATAACCCGACCAAAAAAACCAAAAATAGATTTAATTTACTGTCAGTTAAACAGCAAATTCTCACATTTTCTAGGATGTAACCATCAAATATTTGACCTTTTTAATTAAATATTGATTTCAACAATTAAAATAATTCTTAAAGTAGTTTTTATGTCCGCAGGCTTCTTGTAGACTTTTATTTAAGAAATCAAATCAAAAAGAATCAGATATTTTCTAGTTTTGTTCCACAAGGAGAGATTGATGTCAGTGTGACATTATTCAAATGGATGTACGTGTACCCCTAGTGGTTCTTTGGGGTACTGCCGGTGTATTTCTCATATTTTAAATTAAATGTTTAAAACCTCAGAACAGATTTTGATCACTGCAGTTTCCTTCCTGCCACAGACGAACATCCTCACTGAAGATCAGTGATCATTAATTTGATATGTAGACGCAGTTTCAATGCCGTCTGAATGTCCCTGATGACAAAACACTGGTTTACTCTGAGTTCACTGAAGGAATTTAAACATCTGAAATGAAGCAGTTTTTCTTCATAAATCAGAAACTTAATGAAGCAGTGCCGCGTTGAACCTCTTTATATTCCTTCAACCAGGTGGTACTTAGGAAATATTCCAAAGAGTACATTAATGAAACCACTGATCTATGAAATATCTCCTCCCACTTCACAACAGTGTCAACATAACGCAGACTTTATCATGTCAAACTATGGATATATACTGTATATGTATATGCAGACAGGGTGGGTCTTTGTATCAAAAAGCATTGGAAATAATTCTCCAATATTTATTTGTGTTCCAGTGAGCCAACAATAAATTAATGAATTTTCCGACAAAGCACTGCTGCTTTATTTTATTATTACTGCAGGGGCACACTGTACCTCACAAACACAAATATCTTTTATAATTTATAATAATCTGAAATGGGAGCAGCGTGTTCTGAGCACCAGTGTTACAATATGTGACATTTAATATGAGCTCACAAAGCTGCGTTATTCAATCAGTGCAAAGTTCAGACAACTAAAGAATGAATTCAGTCTGTAAGAAACAGATTCAACGAGACTTTAACCAGCTTTTTATTTAAAGAACCAACGAACTGAAAGAGTTTCTGTCTGATCAGCTGGTGGTCGATGTATTTTAGATCCATTATCATTTATCTCCAAGATGAATATTAGAGCATCAGAGTCGAGATTAATTCAGAAAACTGAATGTAATCCGCTTCAGTCGATATCCACAGATATCACATGAAGGTGGTTGAATGAATGAAAGAGTGAAACTAAATGTCTCCAGCAGCTTTAACCACGAAACCAACATGACTGCAGTTTGAACAGGATAATATTTAATATTCCAGCCAAACAAATACAGTGTCATATTTCCCCATTGGAAGCAATCCTATTCGATACTAATGGAAAATGTATAATTAATTAGTCTGTTAACAGAAAACAACCAGAGCACAATGAAATGGAGGGGCTGCCTCTATAATGGGGAAGTCACAGACTGTTGATTTAAAAGTGGATTCAGATGTCAATAAAACTAATATATCATAAATATCACAGGAAATATTTCATTAATTTGATTTTAACAAACTGATTTTAATTGTTGTTAGTCTGAATTTTGAGGAGTTACTAACATTGGGAGTAGCAGGAAAGTAATATGTAACTAATTACTGTTGGCAGGGGGTAATGAGTAATATTGAAAAGAGTAATGAGTAATAAATGACAGCCCACACTGACAGACTGTAATGTGAGTGGAATAATGGATTATAGATTACTTTTATTATTTTGCACGAAATGTATTTGTTTATCATCGGTGTTCGGCCACCAGTTTGTACCACCACCAACATATTTCTTCATGTGGAAGAAATATTATTTTCCAACAGTGTTGTTCAGTTCACATTAACCAAGAAACATTTTCCTGTAAACAACTAAATGATATAATATGAATCTGTGTGTGATCACAGGGCAGAGATGCATTGTGGGTACAGCAGGCAGTGTACAGTGTCAGGGTGATGGATAGACTAATATGTGCTGTTATGACTGCATTGTCAGAGCCGAATATGAACTGATAAATGAGCTTATACTGAGCTTTTACATGTCGGGTGTTTTTGGAAGTTTTAAAGTGCAGACGGAGGAAATCCGTCATTTTAATGACAAAAAGCAAAAAGGTTATAACGTAAACAAAACATAAAGTCTGAAGTTTCTCACATTTTATTTGTTTTGTTAACTTATTAATTATGATTTCTGTGTGAGTTCAGTTCTGGTGGGAAATAGTGATCTTCTGTGTGTTTTAAATCCCAGTTCCAGTCTTTAGACTTTTAGCTTCTTAGCTTATCTGAGGGAAGTCATGCAGGCTGATTTTAAGGATGTAGTTGGCTTTTATCGTTCATCTTCGGCCTCGAGAGGCAACAGATGGAGAGCGATTGTTAGCTCACAACCAGAGTGGAATCACTGAGAAGAGACATCACTGTAATATAATATTCATAGCTACGTATTCATTTGTGTATAATCAGCTGAACATAAGAATTGTTGTGTTTTAGTTACCTTTTATCCACGGATAAAAAGGTATTATCCTCTTCTAGTGGTGGAGTCCGCCATGTTGATCCGCCATGTCTTTTGTCTCTTTGTGGTTGTTTTTTGTAATTAATAATTGAAGTGTTATTTTGAGAGGTTTAACCCGACACATTTATTTTAATTAGCACAGTAATACCTTGTCCTAGCTAGCTAGCTATCGTTAGGGCAGTAATATGTGAACTATTATCACTATCTGCTCCAACGGGCTCAGCTAATAATAATGAAGTCAGTAAGAGTTCCCAGTGGACAGCATGAAGATTCCCTGTGTTTTAATTCCTACATTGTCCTGAAGGATTTACACTGCAGCCTTACCGATGTAAGTTGTTGTTTCTCTGAGACTGAGTGAGGAACAAGGAACACGATCAAACATTTAAAGTTCCATTTCAGTCAGAACTCAATTTTGACCAAAACTGTAGTTACCGCGGTTCGTGTTGTCGGGTGTGAGTGAGTCAGCGAAACAACAACAAACATCTCTCCATTAAATATACGATACAGTGGCTGAGGATCCATCACTGCATTCAGACGGACCTCACACCAGAGTTTGTACAATCAGAGGAGTCACGAATCTGCTGGTGAGTCAGAGTGAGTCATTACCTACAGACGACTCCTTCCTCTTAATGACCTGTGACTGACGGCTTGATGAGCTGGTAGCTGCTGTGAGGAAGGAGCTGAGTTCCTGGATTTCCTGTGACCTTCACATGATGATGATGATGATGATGTAAATTGTGTTATTGACCTCATGTTTCAGCAACAAAGACTTTCTGTGGCCGCGGTTATTTTGTTTTTTAACTTCCTGCCTGCACAGAAAAGTCTGGATGTGATTTTTAATTTTCTCCTGTTTGTGATCATCTTTACCTGCATTTGCGGATATATTGGTTGAGCTGATTAATGTTTGGGTTTTTTGGGGTCATTTTTGTTGTTTTATTTTGCTCATTTAAAGGTCTGCCTCTGAAGAACGAGTATGTGAAAACATACACTGTAAAAAAAAACCTGGCAGCTGTGGTTACTAGAACTTTATTGTGATAAATTCAGTTATATTATGGTAAAAGGACATTAGTACTTTTGATTTTAAGTTGGAGTTTTATTATATTTTTACTGTATAAATACATGTTTTTGCCATCAACCGAAGCAGTTTTGCCACATGAAAATATCATAATGCTGGTGAGATATGATGGTGGTTTTTACAGTCTGTAATGTAAATAAAAAGGTTTTGCCATGAGATATGATGGAGTGTTACTGTTACAGAAACGTATTTAAGCTATTTACAGTTTACAGTCTTTCACTGTCAGTTTGTCCACAGACATTTTTTACAGTGTACAATACTATCAAAACAATAAAAAAAAAATGAAAAGGTAATTCAAAATAAGTCCTGCATTGCCTGTAATACTTGGTTTCAGTATCATCCGGCTACGAAATCCAATTCATGAATGCTCCTGGATCCAGGGTTAGCTAACATTAGCTGCACGGCTAGCCGAGCTGGTAACATTAACAGCAGGTAGCTTCCATCAGTAAACTCTATAAATCACCTCGGTACCGCTGTCGCCAAGCTGTCGTTGCACGCTAACGGCAGCTATATTAGCAGTTAGTGGAGTTGAGGAAGAGCAGCCAGAGGACGTCAGAGGGAAAAATATTCTCTCCATAAAATATGACTATTGTCCCAGTTTATCAGCAGAACCCTCAGCTACAACACTGAACGAATTGGAATAAAGGCGATTTTTGTGCGTCCTCCTCTTGCATTGCAGAGCAGACCTTCACTTTGTCTTGAATTTGAAAGAATGGCAACGGCTCGTTAAGCTATCAGTTTAAAATGCTTGTTAGGGGAAATCTACCACTAAAATCTGGGATTTGCTCAGTGTGAAACAATGAGAAAATGAAACGTTGAAGTGACAGGGGAAAAATATCTAAAACATTGAAGAAGAAGAGGATGGGATTTTTTTAGGGAATGAATATTTATTGAAGGGAGTTGTTTGATTACATGGCTGCGCGCGTTCTGAGTAGCTAGGAACATTAGTAGCCCGCGCGGGATGAAACTTGATTCTTTGAACACGAGTGCATATGTTTCCTCGCCATCTCTCCTGAATGGCTCCAGACTGCTGATCATTCCTGGGACTAGCGCACCTGGTTGATGAAGTAAGTGAACCCCCTTCTTTTCAGGTGGTCAGTTTTTTTCCCTTTCCCCAAACCCTTTCGTTGTGGTGATAAGGTATGTGTCCATCTTGTGTTTATGGGCAAAAGAGGCCTTAATAACGGCTGACGCGCGCCATCGGATTTCAGGTATCAAATAAAAAATTATGTGCTGCACTTAATGGTGTGTGCTTCTAATTATCTTCCAGCCTAATGAATGTCTGGAGGGCAGGGCTGTGCTACGAGGACGATGGAGGATGAACAGAGCACGACTAATGTCCTGTAGTACAGCCGGGTTGTAGTAATCTACATATTAATGCTGACCTTTGTTGTCCCCTTGAGCACAGAATCTCAAAACAGACTCCATTACAAAAGCAGTAATCTTACTGCAGATTATTGTAAAATACCTTCAAATAAATAAAAATGTTCTTAATTGTTGTGTTGTTCCAACAATCACCACTTGTTGGTGGAAATAATCCTTAATTCACCGACGTTAGATGCTAAAAACGCAGTTTCAGTCGGAGCGACCCGGCTTGGAAAAAACACAAGATGAGCTCGATAACACAAGCTAGTGATTGGGGAATTCCGGCTCTTTTTAGAGAACGGTTCCTTTGGCTCGGTCATAAAAGAGGCCGGCTCTTTGGTCCAGTGGCTCCTCGATTTTTTTGTTGCTTAATTAATTTCTTACCAAATTTGTGTAAAATGAATACTTTATGTAATACATGATTTATCAATGTTTATTTCTCTTATATGGATTATTAAATTATAACTCATGTCCAACAGTGCTACAAAATAATTATAAAGCACAAAAACAAAGACCATTCAATTAGACAAACGTTCTCGATATGAATTTATTCACTTTGCACAAGTCTACACTCTGCTTTGAACTGTTCTACCACATATCTACAAATATACTGTCCAAACCTTTACTCGTTTTCTTTCATCATTTTCCTACCCTTTCAGGTGTGTAGTCCTC